GCTAACACTTGACCTGCCTGCGTGAAAGGAAGTAATTCTACATACCAGAAGGGGGCAGTAGTCAGTATTTGTTATCAAAAAGAAAAACTGGAAGATCCAGTATTGTGGAAAAGATGTCAGAGCCAGTTTAAGGAGAGCCTGGTCACTTCCTATCTCCCCCATTATATCAAAAACGTGACAGCAAAACGCTAGAGGCCGCCCGCAAGCGAGTCCTCAATGAATGAGTGTGAAAGGAGCTTAAAATAAAAGATTAAACACTGTTCTAGACACTTATGTTAGAACTTGGCTTAATTTTGGAAAGTAGACAGGTGTTTTCCAAAAAACGAAGAAAAACAGTCATCAGTATCTTTCCGTTTTGGGCAGTAGGATGTAAAAATTACTACTATTGAGTAATGATTGGTTGTCATTACTGCTACTGAGCGCTGACTGTTCTGCATGCTGTTCGGCTGACTGGCTAAGTAAAGCGCTTTGCGCTCAGTGATGTCATGATTGTGCCTAAAACACTGATAGGAAGTCCTACAACTGAAGTTCAAAAGTGCATAAAAATATGACAGAAGTGTTGAACTATTTCATGCTGTTTTAAGAAAATCTGTGTTTTTTTCTACATAAAAACTATACAAATTATGATTTTGCACAAAAGCTCCATTGAGAACCATTGATTTTGGATTCGCTCTAGTGTCTGACAAACCCGGAAGACATTAAGATATAAGATGTGTTGTTTGCTTGTGCACTGATTGGCCAGGCTGAGCAGCCAATCAGAGAACTAGGGCTAGGCACTATGGCAAAAATACACCACGAAACTTCAAGACATTTTGTTGATACACAATATATATCACAATATTTAGATTTTCATTGGTCTGAGAAGCAGAAACAGAGAGCCAGCAGGGCCACATTTAAAATATATCAATAACTATGAAAACATTTAATTTAATTCATGGTTCCACACTTTGTACTGCGCTAAATCCAATTCTAACTAATTATGCTCTCTTTGCAATGAAACTGGAGATGCACTGATAGAGATGCAGTTTGGTCCGATACCGATGTCCAATATTTTTCATGTGTACAGCTGTCGGCGCTGAGACTACACATACCTTGATTAGCTTTACAGAGAAATCTAACATTTATTTCTGTAGATGTTACAAATGCAGCAAAAAGAATAAAATGCAAATATTTTATAAGCAAATATTTACCAAAATCAATATGATTCTGATATTTTACTGTGCATCCCTAAATGAAACTAGACAAACAATTGCTTAGTGTTCTTTAGTTTTTGCATCTGATATTTTCAGCTAATTTTACTTCATCATTATTTAAATGAAGTAACAACACTGTTTATGTGGGTTTAGGCTCCTCAACTCACCTCCGACCTGCAGCTGTTAAAGATGCTGACCAGACAGCAGACAGGATTCCATTAAGGCATTACGGTTCCTTTACACGAGTGAAACCTCAGTAATGTAGCTCGGATTAGATCCTTTGTTACGCTGCACAGTGCTAGCAAGTTGGTTCATGCTGCTCTCTTCTCTCACTAAAACTACAGCAACGCCCTTTTTAGCTGGATTACTTAAAAAGACTACTGATCAGTTACAGCTTGTACAAAACGCTGCTGCTACACTGTTATAAATAGAGGTTCTGTGCAGGTACATGTTCTATCATCAAGGTACAAACAATGTAAATCTTCCCTCAAAAGGTACAACAGTGGTTTTAGGGTCCAATTGTGAACCTTAAATAAGCTTTTCCAGGTGAAAAGTACATATTTGTATCTTTTCATAGCCAAATGTTTTAACCTTTTCAACTCCTTGAGACCACCGGTGGTTCCAAAACGCACTTCGTCATATTCTTCATAACTTTCATATTTCATAAGCTACATTCAAAAGGTGGGGGTTATATGAGAGCTGTAACTGTCTTCTTTCCAGTCAAATAGATGGGTGATGTAATTTTAAACCCTTATAATAAAAGAAGCTGAACTCACTATTTTTTTTCCTACTGAAAGTCGACCCATTTTTCCACAAATCTGGGCTATAAACTATAAACAGATGGCGTCTCTTCAGTGATCTGCTCTGTAAAAATGATTTTTATAAAATAATACCAAGAGCGTCTAAGATTTTTGGCTTTCAGCAGTGAATTGTAAGCATATAGCAACATGTGTATGATTATAAAACACATGTGCTGGTAATTTGAGGGGAACGTTTACCAAAAAATAAATAAATAAATAAATAAAAAATGTACATTAATTTAATGCAGTTACTGAATAATTTGCCTTACAATTTGGTGATGTAAATTCAGATGGACAAACCAAAATATACCCTGGAGAACAAGAGGTTAGAACAGAACACTAAAATAAAAGCCTGGAGACGAGACGGGGTGTGTGGAGTCAGTACAACCTAGAAAATATCATTTCAATGGATTATGGTTCAGTTATGTTCCCTGACTAAAGGTACTGAGATGCACCCTTGAGGGGACCACCCCAGTGACAGTTTAGTACCTTTATTTCTGAGAGTGTGAAGTGCTAACTCATAAGTAAAAGAGTGAATGGTAAACTGTTTTGCGTCTTTACTGTATCCTCTAGATCCGTACTAACCCAGAATGCCTGACAGATTTTATTCCAAATTCAAATCATCCTAAATTATTCCAAATTAAAGGAAAATTGCATAATTTTTTTCATTTGTTTCTGCACAACTGAAAGGTTTAACAAGTAAACAAATCATTCAGGGTGGTTTAGTGTGAAATACTCCATTCTAGTAACCTCACCAAGCAAAAACTGCTCACAGTGCTCACAGTGGTGGTGATAGGAACCAGACGTCTGAAGCCCTAAAACCTCCCTCACAAAAAGCTATTATATCCAGTGGTAATGAATACACTGCCTGTTGCCTGAGACATTGTTTTACAACAGTTTTGTGATAAGACTGTAATAAAACATATATTTTTTAAAAACCCATTCATGGCGGAAAGTTATATGCAGGATGTTGTGAGGCAAAATAGTTCCCAAAAAAATCATCCTCAACATTAAATATAAAAACTCAGAAGACACGTGTAGGTTCACTGGTGGTTTTGGATAGTAAATAAAATGGCTATATTTGTGCTGTAGAGATTGTGACCCCTGGTTCCCATCACCACCACTGTAACCAAGAAACCTGAGTCAGTATGTTTCTCTACAATGAACCGTTTCACATTAAAACACTCCGAAAGACTTTTCCCAATAACTGAATTATGCACAACATTTAAAAAATCTCTGGAGTTAAAATCCAAAATTCATCAGATCTGAAAGTGAAGGAGCAGCTTTCTGTTTTTATGCTCCAGATCCATCGGGTTCCTTCTGCGACAGCTTAAAACGTACATGTTTATCTATTATTCATATATTAATTATTTACTTTTTTTCAGTTATGCTTGCTCTATTTTTTTTCTGCTTTTTGTTGACGCACCTTGAGCTCCATTTCTATGTATGACAAATTCTACACAAATAATGTTTATTGTTATTATTATTGTTATTATTATTAAAACAAACAGGCATAACTTGCTGTCAAAAACTGGTCAGTACTAAAAAAATGTCACTGCAAGTGTTGAAATAAATGCTAAATTCCAGGAAAAGAAATCAGCACCACAGATAATATTGTGATGTAAACACAAGAAATGTAAGATAAGCATGAAAGACTGCATAATTCAGGATAAAGAGGTTAAACTAACAGTACAGCAGGACAAACGCACTGAATAACAGAGCAATGCTTTAAGGTCACATTCAAACTGTTCTAGACTTAACAAAACTGCAGAGCCTCCTTATAAATCTCAGTGTTTCACTATCCAAACAACTGCTTTCAGAGAAATTATGCCTTTTCACTCCGACTGTATTATATATGCTGAAGTCTCTAAGAATAAGTGGTCATTTAGTTGTCATTAAGACTGATCACTCTCCTGCAGGCCTTGAATCCTGTTTTAATTGTTCTCAAATTCTATTTTAGTGGGATTTTTTTACATTTTGTCCCTGCATTTCATAAAATTGTACACCGATCAGGCATAACATTATGACCACCTCCTTGTTTCTACGCTCATTGTCCATTTTATCAGCTCCACTTACTATATAGGTGCACTTTGTAGTTCTACAGTTACAGACTGTAGTCCATCTGTTTCTCTGCATACTTTGTTAGCCCCCTTTTACCCTGTTCTTCAGTGGTCAGGGCCCCCATGGACCCTCACAGAGCAGGTACTATTTGGGTGTTGGATCATTCTCAGCACTGCAGTAACACTGACGTGATGGTGGTGTGTTAGTGTGTGTTGTGCTGGTCTGAGTGGATCAGACACAGCAGTGATGCTGGAGTTTTTAAACACTGTGTCCACTCACTGTCCACTCTATTAGACACTCTATTACCTTGTCAGTCCACCTTGCAGATGTAAAGCCAGAGACGATAGCTCATCTGCTGCTGCACAGTTTGTGTTGGTCATCCTCTTCATCAGTGGTCACAGGACGCTGCCCACAGGACGCTGTTGGCTGGATATTTTTGGTTGGTGGACTATTCTCAGTCCAGCAGTGACACTGAGGTGTTTAAAAACTCCAGCAGCACTGCTGTGTCTGATCCACTCAGACCAGCACAACACACACTAACACACCACCACCACGTCAGTGTTACTGCAGTGCTGAGAATGATCCACCACCCAAATAGTACCTGCTCTGTGAGGGTCTATGGGGGTCCTGACCACTGAAGAACAGGGTAAAAGGGGGGCTAACAAAGTATGCAGAGAAACAGATGGACTACAGTCTGTAACTGTAGAACTACAAAGTGCACCTATATAGTAAGTGGAGCTGATAAAATGGACAATGAGCGTAGAAACAAGGAGGTGGTCATAATGTTATGCCTGATCTGTGTATAGGTTTAATAGTACTGCATCATTTCAATTAATGGCATATTTTTTACTGTGTCAGATTGAGTGCATGGCGTTCCAAAATGGAGATAAATAGTCTCAGCTTTAACTGCATTAATACCAATTCTTCATTCTTAAATCTTTCGTACCTGGATTCGAGCATTGTGGAGCATGAACTCCTGCTGTTTCTTCAGATTCTGGTCCATGGATTTGGAGAGTAAAAACCCCATTGTGGTGAAACTGAAAGAAATAACAGCAAAGTAGTGAGATATTCACCTCAATACACACAGCATCTGCAATGTTAACCCACTGAAATGTGAATTTTGAGTTGCCTGATCGGTTCAATCAGCCGGGCAGGCAGCTTCAGTGAAAGGAAAACATGAGTAACAAGTGCCTAACAAAGACGAGTAAAGAATAAGGGAGGAGACGACTAAAGAGTTTTGTCATGAAGAGTCAACAAGTTGATTCATGCTGTTGTCTTTTTCCCCCTGTAGTGGATTACCTAGAGGAGGGGTGTCAAACTCAACCACTAACAGGGTCATATTAAAAATCTAAACAAATCCGTGGGCCAGCTGTGTTTTTATTTCAGGCACTGAATCAAAACCTTGACCTGTTCAAAAATAATTTGAAATAAAAACAAATTGTTTTATATAAAACAACAGACTTTATATAGAACAATAGGCAACATTGCTACAGAAACTGTTAAACCTCTTTAAATGCCCCCAATGTATGGTAGGTCTTTAACCCTGCCTGTTTGCTTGAGCTCGACACCTGGCATCTTTTCTTTTTACGGTGCTGTCCCATAGACGCGCATTATGTTGCAGTGCATGCTGGGGACTGTAGTGCAGCTCATGGTGAACTAGGCTAATGTTAACAGAAAATCTAAATAATTTCTTGGGCCAAATAGGAGTGTACCATGGGTCTGACTAGGCCCCGGGCCTTGTGTTTGACACATGGGACCTAGACTATTGACCAGTTACAGCTTGTAGAAAATACTGTTGCTAAAGCACTAAAGCAGATAAGCACAAGGGAGAATATTACAGCTGTTTTGTGTGATTACAGTGTCTGTTTCTAACAGATCCATTCCACACCAGAGCGTCTGACAGATTCTACACCCCTCGCCCCTACCACTTAGCCCTAGCCCTCCATTTTGCGCACTCACACCTAGGGGTAGGGTGTCCCGATTTTTGTTGAGATAGAGGGCAAAGTTTGGGGCTACATGGCCCTCCAAACGGAGGATTTTCATGAGCAAAACAAGAAAAACCAGCAAGACGGCGGCGCAAGCGACTGGAGAAACCCACAAATGTGAGTATTTTCTCCTTTAAAAAATTACGATAACCACTGTATTATCTTAGTTTAATGTGGTTTCAATGCATTACGGTTCTTTTCTTCATAACAAGCATAAAAGTACACAAGCAGTATGTTGATGTCTCGGTAGCTAACTAGCTAAATTTCCTGTTCCACCTTAAATGGTGCAGCAGTTACATTCTGGCGCCTCAGGCATCACAACTGATGCTCCATTTAAGGTGGAACGGGAAAGTTCAAACAAGAAGCTGGTGAACATCGGACTTCATCTTCATATCACTGAAGAATGAGGGGTGGGTGATAATAAATAATTGACCCCCCCCGCCCCCCCCTCTTTGAAGGCATATGATTCCCTTAATGTAACTAAAGCCCAGCAGTGGCTATGTTTACATGCAACGATTTTTGCCAATCCGATTGAATACAATCCGATTACAGATTTAGACTGAGGTGTTTATATGCACTCTATTCAACAATCTGATGGAAAATCTTCGTTTACATGCTCACTACAAGTAATCCGATGCAAAATGACGCGCATGCGTGGAGTAGCGCTTAGAGTAAACGTTACCATGACAGCGAACATCACGTGAGGTCCAGACCAGTTTCTGCTCCGCCATGTTGAGCGGTGTAAACTTTCGCCGTGACGCGACGCACACGCGCAGAACATACTTACACGTTCCGATTGGAATGTAATCGGATTCAGGCGTTTACATGGCTATTATTCTTCTATTTAACGGATTATTTAGAAGTTTACCCACCTCGTTTAATCGGATAGAAATTAGCCACGTTTACATGCAGCCTGATAATCCGTTAATAATCCGACTAATAGCTCAATCGGAATAGAATATGTCCATGTAAACACCTCAATCGGAATAGTCTAATCCGATTGAGGCCATTCGGAATACAATTTCTATCCGATTAAACGAGGTGGGTAAACTTCTAAATAATCCGTTAAATAGAAGAATAATAGCCATGTAAACGCCTGAATCCGATTACATTCCAATCGGAACGTGTAAGTATGTTCTGCGCGTGTGCGTCGCGTCACGGCGAAAGTTTACACCGCTCAACATGGCGGAGCAGAAACTGGTCTGGACCTCACGTGATGTTCGCTGTCATGGTAACGTTTACTCTAAGCGCTACTCCACGCATGCGCGTCATTTTGCATCGGATTACTTGTAGTGAGCATGTAAACGAAGATTTTCCATCAGATTGTTGAATAGAGTGCATATAAACACCTCAGTCTAAATCTGTAATCGGATTGTATTCAATCGGATTGGCAAAAATCGTTGCATGTAAACACAGCCACTGTATTCCGAATGGCCTCAATCGGATTAGACTATTCCGATTGAGGTGTTTACATGGACATATTCTATTCCGATTGAGCTATTAGTCGGATTATTAACGGATTATCAGGCTGCATGTAAACGTGGCTAGTGAGGAGCTGAACTTTACTCTCCTCTGCTATCACTGCAGACTGGCAGGGTCGCCTACAGAGCAGCGCTGGTAGCTGTTAATGAAGTAATGCTCTTCTTTATTTGAGGGTTTTCCCATATGGTAGGGGAAGATTTCAACAACTACCCGTTGTAACTTAGACACAAGGGGCAAGGTGACACTCGAAAACAAGGGGTAGGTGTAAAAATAAATGGGATTGGACCTAAATCAAATCTTAAACTCTTAAACTCTTAAAGAAGCAGCTTTCTGCTGTTTCGCTCCAAATATTCATAGTTTTACCTGCTCAGGAGTCAGGAGCCTCCTGACAGTTTATAAAGAACTTATTTACTCAGTTTCCAAGCAGTTTTTGCTGGAAAAGTTCTACTGGACACTTTCATGAAGCACCTTGAGCTCCATTTCATGCAGTTCAGATTGATGGAGAACCTGCTACTGTCACAAGCGTCCTCACAACAGAAGAACCCTTCTTGGTGCCACACAGAACCATACACAACCCACTCTCCATCAATCTAAAGAACCATTTCACCAAACAAAGAACCTCTGAAGCATGTAAACCGTTCTTCTGAGTGTTCAGACGGTTCATGGTTCTCTATAGAACCACTGCCTTTACTACAGAGCCCTTGAAGAACCATCTAAAGAGTGTACAAACAAACAAACTTGCTTTGCCTTGATTCCAGCTACACCAGTGACCCCACTGGTTTATTACAGCAATAGTGCCGTTTCTAAAAGCTGAAATAATCCAGATTAATGCGGAGTCAGAGGCTCTTCTGACTGGGTCATGTTTGTTTGTTTGTTTGTTTGTTTGTTCGTTTGTCATTTAGAATCTATAAAACCTTCGTTTTGAAATGAAACGCTTATATTAGGTTAAACAGCAGGAGAACAACAACAGGACTTACCCTCAAACTCGCTGCGTGTCAAAGTGTGAGACGTTAATCTGCTGTTTGATTATGTTTTATTACACTGTAAATCTTGACACATGTACACACATACAATCCCGCCACACATCCGGCTCAGCCCGGAACGGAGACTCGCGGCATTATGGGAACTGTAGTTTTCCACGCACAGCCTTACACACAACTTTAATGCGACTATCACTATGAGAAGAGAAGCTTTTGAAATGATCGTGATTTTTTATTATACGGGCCAAAATCTATATTCACGATGGAAAAGCGGGGTTAGAAATGCACCCAGGTTTGTTTTTAAGTTGAATATATTTAAACAAAGAATGAAAAACCCTTGACCTCTTGTTCTCCAGGGTATATTTTGGTTTGTCCATCTGAATTTACATGACCAAATCTTAAGGCAAATTATTCAGTAACTGTATGAAATAAATGTAAATTTTTATTTTATTTATTTATTTATTTATTGATTGATTGATTGATTGATTGATTGTAAAAGCTCCCCTCAAATTATCTTATTTTATCATCATACACATATTGCTATATGCTTACAATTCACTGCTGAAAGCCAAAAATCTTAGACGCTCTTTGTATAATTTTATAAAAATAATTTTTACAGAGCAGATCACTGAAGAGACGCCATCTGTTTTTAGTTCATAGCCCAGATTTGTGGAAAAATGGTCGACTTTCAGTAGACAAAAAATTTAGTTCAGCTTCTTTTATTATAAGGGTTTAAAATTACATCACCCATCTATTTGACTGGAAAGAAGACAGTTACAGCTCTCATACGACCCCCACCTTTTGAATGTAGCTTATGAAATATGAAAGTTATGAAGAATATGACGAAGTGCTTTTTGGAACCACCGGTGGATGAGATTTTAGCAGAGCAGCTGTTTATTATTATTATTTTTTTTTTTTTCCATTTTTCTTTTCACACCTGTCGTCTAATTTGCCTTTATTTTACTTGTAATCTTATTTCAAATTAGCATTTTTAACTTGTAGTTGGTTACTTTTTATGATATGCTGTATAACTGTTCATTTTTTTAAATAAAAATACACACATTATCCAGGTGTAATTCAGGCTGCATTGTGGAGGTGTGATGACATTTTCTGGCCAAATTTTAGCCAAATGTTTAACCCATAAGACAAGACTCTTCTGTAAATCCCTATTTGCTATTTTCAATGATTTATTTAAATTAATTACATTTTTCATGTCCCTACAGACAGGTGAAAATGGCAAAACTGTTACATACGATAGACGCTTGAAGGAGACAGATGTTGTTTAGTTCCTAGTTGTTTACAAATATTTTGCTAAGTACAGTATTTTCATTTAACATTATTTTCTTCTTCTTAAGCTGGCTAGGCCTATACTGAGAAACAATAGTTTGATATCCATGGTATAATGGATAGAAGATAATTGAAAAAAGATTAAATAATAAACAATAATAGAAATATCAAGCTTCATGTAAAGGAAGTGGTCCCTTAGCACTTTGGCAGTATTTTGGCTGGGTTAGCTAGTTAACTAGCTAGGTTAATGTAGCAAGAAGTTAACCAGACAGTTCAGCTGGAGCTTCTTTTAAAAACCTTTCTTTAAAAGCAAAAGCAGCCTCAAGCGCACAGAGAGCAACACCTACCTGTATTAAACTCAGTCAACAGCAGAAAGAGTTAGAGAGAGATTTCATGTGGCCACAAACTGCAGGTACTCCAAGGACACACAGCCCTGACAGTCAGAGCGTCACAGCATGGCTGCGTCCTAATCGGCATGAATGCAGCCTAGCTAGGGCTCTACAAAGGGAGCAGATTTATGGTTGCTATTTTGCAACAATGCTTCAAAGTCCTAAATCAATTAAAGATAGATAGATAGACAGCTTGATCCCAACAAACTACATATATATATATATATATAGGTGCACTTCGTTGTTCTACAATTACAGGCTGTACACTTTGTTAGCCCCCTTTTACCCTGTTCTTCAGTGGTTAGGACCCCCATGGGACCACCCCAGAGCAGGTACTATTTGGGTGGTGGATCATTACTCTCAGCACAGCAGTGACACTGATGTGGTGGTGGTGTGTTAGTGTGTGTTGCACTGGTTAGAGTGGATCAGACACAGCAGCGCTGCTGGAGTTTTTAAACACCTGGAATACGGAATAAGTAGTGTGAGTAGGGAGCAGGGGGTAGTGTTGGGAAGCGTGTAGGGAATAATGAGTAGGAATAGGGAGCAGGGGGTAGTGTTGGGAAGCGTGTAGGGAATAATGAGTAGGAATAGGGAGCAGGGAATAGTGAGTTGTAAGTAATGAATAGGGAGCAGGGAGTAGTGAGTAGGAATCAAGGGAAAGTGAATAGGCAATAGTCAGTGAGGAACGGGGTGTAGGGAAAAAGGAGTAACAAACTGAGACTATAAAGTAAGGAGTAAGGAATAGTAGTTATAGGGACCAGGGAGCAGTGAGTAGGGAATAGTCAGTGAGGAATAAGGAGTAGGGAGCAGGGAGTAAGCAATCAGGAGGAAAGGAGAGTGGTGACTTAGGGATAGGGAGCAGGCAGCAGGGAGTAATGAAGAAGAGCAGGCAGCTCGCATGATCCCTTCTGAATGGAGCCCAAAGTCTGTTATGAGTATTTGAACTGCCTGCATGACCCGGCTTCACACAGCAGCCCGGGATCTCATTGGTTCGTTTGGCTGCAATGTCAGGCTGAAGACAAACAAGTGTATGTTGTCAGACAGGCAGATTTTTCTTTACCATGAAGCTCATGTGTCAGTTGTAATGCTTCAAAAAATAGACAATTTATTTATTTTGGAAATGTAAAATTTAGTGTAGTTGATGTTCTCTGAGCACAAATCTTAAGACTTTTTTGCACTTTTATCACATAATAGGTTACATAAAATCTAATCTTTTGGGCACAGGAGATGACTGATTTTAACAAAACAATGGAACATTCAAATTTGATTGTGAATAAAAGTATCAAAGTTACATATAATCAAAAAAAATCATCCAGGTATAACTATACAAAATGTCATCACTTTGACAAAAAAGACCAATCAGTTTACTTGTTACATTTGAATGGGGTTCATTTGTCTTCAGGAGGCAGCAAGGGGTCAGAGGGGACCATAGTAATCACTCCACAGCCCACTTCTCAAGCCCCTCATGACTAATTCAGTCTTGATGTTGAGGAATAACTCAGCGGACCTCATGGAGAAAAATAAAATACAGGAAAAATGTAGAAGGATGAAGAAGTACATTCAAATTGTAAATTTAAAAAATACTTTGTTAGCCCCCTTTTACCCTGTTCTTCAGTGGTCAGGACCCCCATGGAGCAGGTACTATTTGGGTGGTGGATCATTCTCAGCACTGCAGTAACACTGACGTGGTGGTGGTGTGTTAGTGGGTGTTGTGCTGGTCTGAGTGGATCAGTCACAGCAGTGCTGCTGGAGTTTTTAAACACCTCAGTATCACTGCTGGACTGAGAATAGTCCACCAACCAAAAATATCCAGCCAACAGCGTCCTGTGGGCAGCGTCCTGTGACCACTGATGAAGGACAGTGAGTGGACACAGTGTTTAAAAATTCCAGCAGTGCTGTTGTGTCTGATCCACTCACACACTAACACACCATCACCACATCAGTGTCACTGCAGTGCTGAGAGTAATGATCCACCACCCAAATATTACCTGTTCTGGGGTGGTCCATGGGGGTCCTGACCACTGAAGAACAGGATAAAAGGGGGCTAACAAAGTATGCAGAGAAACAGATGGACTACAGTCCATATATATATATATATATATATACATATATATATATATCCCTCAACAAGTAGACAAGTGGTTTCAGAAAGAACATGATTTCAACCTATTTGTATCATCTTCTTCAGATGGCTCCTCATGAAGCTGCTTGAGAGAATGACAAGAGTGAGTAACGTTGACATCGAAGGAAAGGGGACTGAATTTCTAACAGAATCTAAATTAGAAAACAGTTTGATTTGTTTAACAATTTTTTAGTCTCTGCATAATTCCAGCTGCATTACTGCTTTGTTTTAATGTCTTTGGTATGACTCAAAAATGTGCAAAACAGTAAAAAAAAACGGCCTTCTGTAAATGTGTCCAAACTTTTGACTGGCAACGTATACACTTTATGTCCAAAAGTGTCTCCACAGCCCTTCTAGTTAGTGAATTTAGCTACTTTAACACAGCTTGTAAAATGTCCATTTAAACGGGGTAGAGGAGCCCCCTTAGCAGAGACGGAGCGATGGAGCTCCATCCAGTACCTTTGGGATGAGTGGAGTGATCCAGAACTGATCATTCAAAATCAGCACCTGACCTCACTAATGCTCAATCAAATCCTCACAGCAATGTTCCAACATCCAGTGTAAAGTCTTCCCAGAAGAGAAGAGACTGTTAATGAAGCAAAGGAGCACAAATTCCCTATTAGTACCATATACTGTATAACAATAACAATACAAAATGTCATCAATTAAGATCAATGAATTGACTTGCTCTAAGTGAATCGTGTTCATTTGTCTTCTTTATGCAGCTCTTCCACTATAATGGTGAGAAGGAAGAATCACTCCTTGGCCCAGCTCTCACACTCCACATGGCAAATATGGCTTGATCTTGAGGAATAATGATTATAGGGCGCCACCCTGTGGCCATGCGGTAGAATGTGCACCAGAGGCAGAGCTTTCACAAAAAAATCTGATTATGTTTTGAAGTATAGAGGTCACTAATGCTACTTTTATATACTATATTTAAGTATTTACTAAATAATTTTATGGATTTGAACGTTTTGAACGTTTTGAAGTATATTTGTAAAGAAAGTGAAGTTTTCTCTCCTTTCCGTTTTGCTATTCATATCTAGTCTGACTTCATTCTGTTTCACTCAGCTCCTGGACTGCTTTGCTGTTGCTCACACCCCTCACTTTGCAGCTAGACAAATACACTATACGCCCAAAAGTCTGTGGACACCTGACCATCATACCTATATGAGGTTGTTGAAAATCTCATTCCAAAAACAGGGGCATTAACATGGAGTTGCCCCACTTTGCAGCTATAACAGCCTCCACTCTTCTGGGTGTGTCTGTGGGAATTTGTGCCCATTCCATAAAAAGAGCTTTTGTGAGGTTCAGCACTGATGTTGGACGTGTAGGCCTGGCTCTCAATCGACGTTCCTATGTATCCCAAAGGTGTTAGTGGGGTTGAGGTCAGGCGTTCCTCCATACCCAACTCGCCAAACTGTGCCTTTATGGGCCTTGCTTTGTGCACATGGATGCAGTCATGCTGGAACAGGAAAAGGCTTTCCACAAACCGCTGCCACTTATAATTGTCTTTGTATGTTGTAACATTACCCTGGAACTAAGGGGCCCCAACCCTGAAAAACAGTGCCAGCCCATCGTCCCTCCTCCACCAAACTTTACTCCAGAGAACACCTTTACACTGCTCCAGAGACCAGTGGCGGCTTGCTTTACACCACTCCAGCCAGACTTGGCATTGCGCATAGTGATCTCAGGCTTGTGCACAGAAGCTCAGTCATGGAAACCCATTTCATGAAGCTCCTGATGCAGTTTTCGTGGCACACTCTGCGAGTTAGTGTGGTCTACCACTTCGTGGCTGAGCTGTTGTCGCTCCTAGATGTTTCCATTTCACAACAATAGCACTTACAGTTGACCGGGGCAGATATAGCAGGTCAGAAATTTCACAAAACAGACTTGTGACAAACGCAGCATCCTATAACAGTGCCGTGTTTAAAATCATTGAGCTCTTCAGTACAGCGCATTGTATTGCCAGTGTTTGTCTATGGACATTGCATGGCTATGTGCTTGGTTTCATACACCTGTTAGCAATGGATGTGACTGGAACACCTAAACTCAATAATCAGAAGGGTCCACATACTTTTGGCCATATTGTGTAAATAAAGCCTAAGCATATAAATATTAGATCAATATTTATCATCTGGATCGTAGGTTGTGCGCAATGATAGACAGTAGAAAAGTCCAAAGTGGTATTTGTTTTTGTTTACACACTATGTTTATTAGGTGGGTTTGTTCTCCAACACTAGAAACAGCGTTTAAGGGGAGAGAAAGCAATATCAAAATCGACCCATTGTACAAAAAAAGACACAAGAGCTAACAGAAAACCAGAAGTCAATGAAGAGCCTGGAGCCAATCGAACCCACAATTACAGCGGTATAAACTTCGCATAGATATATTCATATTTACATATATATTAATTTGTAATTACAAGGGAGAGAAAACAAAATGTACAATGCTACAAAAAGTATTTACAAATTAATAAATAGAGTGAGCACATACACACACACACACACACACACACACACACACACACACACACACTCACACACACACACAAAGAAAATGAAACCAAAAGGTACAATGGACATTTCATATCATACAAAAATTACAAAAAGAACATAGAAAAAAACATATGTGTTAATTGTTAGAAAGTATTTCTCTTTCCTTTTTTTTGTTTACAGTAAAAGAGAGCAAATGGCACCAGCTTGCTAAATGATATTTATCTGTAAGAGTGAGAGAGAAAGTGGCTTTTTCATCTGAACAGGCAGTGTTTATGGAAGTGAAATGTTGTGGTTAGAATGATCTGAATGATCTTTGGCCCTTTTCGTTTGTTTTTTTTTCTTATATTCATAAAAGATGCAACAATCTTAACAAACCAAATCTAAACCCACACGCACACAGACGAGCACACAGTGGTGGACAAAGTACACAAAGCCTGCTCTTGAGAGAACGTAGAGGAAAGTAAACGTACAATGGGTAAAATAATATAATAATCATCTTTAATAATATTAACTGAAACTTTTACTTGATAAATATACTTCCTTTTAAATGTATTTCAGCAAGAAGTGTAGAAGTGCTGCAAATTACAGGCTGAAATGCTGTAATCTGGACACCAGAACATATTTAATGATGTTTTATTTAATATATTCAACTCCTTGAGACCACCGGTGGTTATAAAACGCACATATTCTTCATAACTTTCATATTTCATAAGCTACATTCAAAAGGTGGGGGTCATATGAGAACTGTAACTGTCTTCTTTCCAGTCAAATAGATGGGTGATGTAATTTTAAACCATTATAATAGAAGAAGCTGAATTTTTTTGTCTACTGAAAGTCGACCCATTTTTCCACAAATCTGGGCTATAAACTATAAACAGATGGCATCTCTTCAGTGATCTGCTCTGTAAAAATTATTTTAATAAAATAATACAAAGAGCCTCTAAGATTTTTGGCTTTCAGCAGTGAATTGTAAGCATATAATAATATGTGTAATCATAAAAACATTCTGTTAATTTGAGGTTAGCTTAAAAAAAAATTACATTTATTTCAGGTAGTTACTGAATAATTTGCCTTACGATTTGGTCATGGACAAACCAAAATATACCCAGGTCAATAAGAGGTTAATAATCTTTTTTTTGGAATTAGCAAGATGTTATTAAATTATAAGTGATATAATAATGATCTTATAATAATTCCTTCTGCTTCAGTATCAAGGTATTCTGGATATTAATTGTATTATATCTTCAATCTCAATGTTCTCAGTCATTATGGACTATTCTATAGCTCTGTTCATCATTCTGAACACACCTGAAAGTTTAGTTTTTACAGCTTCCTGCACACTTTTTGAAATCTGTGAAGCTGTAGAGTTGGGGCATCATGTGTATTGTTGCACCCCTAATTGAAATTAAGTTAAAAGTTTTCAAAAATTGAAGTACTGACAAAAAAGTACATAAGTACAGTAACAAACTACATGTACACTACTGTTATTGTTATTGTCCACCACTGTGCACACATATACACAGACACATGCACATCATCCACAGACACATGCACACAAAACCACATCTAAAAGGGCACACAGTCTCTGGAAATGTGAAAAGTTAATACCTGGGTGTAATCCGAATTCATGTTCATTCTACTCTGTAAAAACCCAAACTCACAGTCTGAATATTCACCCTGCCACACATAATGCCTCAACACTTCAACCGCCACTGCATTCGGTGAATAATTTTCTAAAGCATAAAGGGAAATTTCTCAAAATCTCTCTCTTTTGCAGTAAGCAGGAGCGACATCCAGCTGCAGCCCCGCTGATCGAGCCCCACGCTGAACAAGAACCTCCATGTAAAAGATATTTCAAGGAACACGTCCACATGGTTTTTGGGAGAAGGAGGGGGCACTCATTCGCCCCTTTATGCAGACAACAGAGCCCCATTGATTACTTTTTCTCACATCGTGATTACAGCACACTTGTGGCCTTTTTTGTGATTGCCAGGGTCTTGTGACTACACTATAAGAGGGGGCAATTAAGTGGTTGAAAAATGAATGGGATACGCTCAACATTCAGCCTGTTTAAGGATAAAAGCCCTGTCCTTCAATAAAAAGAGACAATCGAATTGCTGGTATAGCCGCAAGCAGGAAAAGCTCCCCCTTGTTGTGGAGAGACGACCCCAAAAAACATGGTTCTGTGTGATTTTTGGACCAAATAATACAAACTGTTTATGCGATTTCTGTTAAAGAGATTAGAACTGCCCACGGCATCACAAAGATGGCCAGCAAAGGGACAGACTTTCCTCTAAGGACTTTGACAAGACTTAAGCAGACAGGAACTGTAACACTTTTCTTCCCACTGACTAGGCATGCGGTATCCTGTTTGCCCTTTTTTAGGATCTTTGGCAAAGTCTTTAAATAGCCAACAAGCTAGTAAACTGCCTAGCTAGCTATTGATGTATCCCACACTAATGTTAGCTAAAATAATGTATCCTCTTGTTGTATAATTATGTTTAAAATTGATTCTTCTGGTGTATCTTAGCCAGCTAGCTAACTAGCTTTCTAACCCCAACCTTAACTCTTAGCCAACATGGTTGAGGAGCTAACTAACCAAATCCACAACTTCAATGCTTTTATTCAGCTCATTTGAACATCAGCTACCGCACCAACACTTTAGCCAGAGAACTTGTAGAGATGAGAAGTACCACTCTGCAACGTCTTTCGGGTTTTTCAGATGCTAGAGGGCGCTCGCGAGTGAGTCCAAAATGAATGGGTTGATATGGAGCATTTGAGCAAAATCATAGTTTATGAATGAGTAAACATTTTTAATGTAAAAGAACGCAATCATGTCCTGAACACAGACAGCATAAACCATTTTAGTACTGCTGGTATATTTTTAAGAGCCTTTAAATTCGAGTTATATGAGATTAAAAACGCGCCTCATGTATGTCCACGACGTCAGTGAGCGTGAACAGCCAATGAGCTGCTCCGCTCACCAATCATCACGCTATAGCACTAATGCCCGCCTTCTGCTGCCCAAAACCCGTTTGCTGTAGAAAAAAGGAAATATTTAGGTAGGATTTTTTTGTTTTTTTAGTGAAATGCATCCTTCTACTTTCTAAAATCAAAGAAACGTTCTGGGAAAGTGATTAGAAACTATTTTAACCTTTCGTTTTTAGCCGTTGAGCGCCATTTACTCTCATTCATTTAGGACTCACTCGTGGGCGCCCTCTGCTGTTTGGCAGTCCTGTTTTTGATATAACGGGGAGAATAGGAAGTGGCCAGGCTCCTCATAAACCGGCTTTGCTTTAGCTGGCTAGCTAATGCAAGTTAGTTAGCTTGTTGGCTAACATCCGTCCAACACGAGGCATTTCCCCAACCTGAAGACTGACCTACAGGGCTGCAGCTGGAATACTACTGGTAAGCAGGTGATAGGCTGGTATACACAGTGCTGACTGACCTCTTTGTAACAGGCAGAGTTTTTAGCAAATTAAACAAGCCCCCTTACTTCGCTTTAGTGTATTAATAGTGTTTATAATGTTTAGTAACGTTAGACCCAGGAACAGAAATGTGATATTAATGGCAATGGATTTTGTTCTATTATTCGTTTTCCCCCCAACACCGACTAGACGCAACACCAGAATATCACAGTTCACAAAACAACATTCATGTTTATCTGTCTTCTATCGCTTTCCATCCATCATCTGTCGCTCTCCGTCTTCATTCATGTTTAATATCTTCTTAATATAAATTCCCACTTTACTTTGTGTTTTATTTTCCCCATTTACTCCCAGCCAATTACAGATTAATCAAGCAAATCGGCCTCACCGATTGGAGCCTTTTCGCGATTCCGACTGGGAAATCCACCCCAGAATACAGTGAGTTAATTACAATCCTATAATAGCCCTGCTCTTTTGGAAAGAGTGGAGAAGGAGTTGGCAATTCCTACCAAATTTGACACTTCTTCCATTAGCCGACTCAATTAATCTACTGCATTCACAGTCTACTGCTCGACCTGACTATATACTGTTTCATGACATACAAAACCCATCATCCCTAACTCTTAAAGGCAGCCAGGCAAACCTGGTCGTCAGTCACTCATTACTTCTAGTGCTTTCCAGTTCGTCATGTGAGCAGTGTGCCAGCATGCTAGCATGTTAGCACTGCGGCTAGGCGTCATCCATCCAGCTGTGTGGTTCCTTTAGCAAGGTGAGGCTCTGAAATGATGGTGAGAGCCAGCTGGAGGACGTCAGTGTTAGTTAGCACCAAATAGAGGAAAAGACACAGAGAAAACAATACTCAAAAACAACAGGGCTCCAGCGCCTTTGGTGCTTGGACCCCTAAAAAGAGTATCTGCAACAGAAATCTGAGGAGAATAATCATCGTTAGAAGAATGTCTGCTGTTGTAATGCCCTTTTTGTTTCACAAAGCTGGACATAGAGGTTCTCTTAGACTTTAAAGACCAGGAAAAAACAGAGTATCCTGATTTCTGACAACTTGTTTGGAGGCATTTCTCTTGCGAAGACCAGACGGATTCACTCATCTCTCCAGTTCAGACTGAGTCACAATGATCTTCACACTCGAAAGCGTGTGAAAGCAAGGGGGAAAGAAAATGAGCACAAGCTTGCGAATGTCAGGTTGCAGTCCACCAAGGCAAACGTCGCCAGAGCTCACAAGAAACCAGAGTTCAGGAACTTTTCTGCAGGAAAAGCTTTAAAAAAAAGGTGCTAGTCATCATGCTAGCCATGTATTGTGCACTTTGTCTCCAAACTGCTCCAGGCTGTCCTTACATTGGCAGTGAGGGAGTCTGCAACATGGCACACGGTCCAGTCTGCAGTTCACAGGAAGCGACCTCAGATGCAGCGCAGGAGGTGGGTTGACACAGGAAGTGGGTTCTGGAGCGTCTGTAAACATGGCAAACTGTCCATCCATAACCACTCTGACTGCTACGGGTGGCCTCCTGAGCTGGCAGTGACTTTTCTCTCCCAGTCTTTAGGGCTTGACCTTTGAACATTAGCCGCTTTTCCACAGCAGGTCTCGATTAGCCTGGATGCTAACGAACAGCAGCAGGAACTGAGGCCAACGGTAGAGTGAGGAGGGACAGGTGAGAGACTGTAGGGAGACTTGAGGGGTCAGAAAATCCCTTTGGCGATCCTCAGGCCTTTCTGTTTCATTCGAGGCAAGGTGGAGCTGGCCACGTGCTTGGTGCGGCCCGTCCGCGGGAAGCCGCGCTTCTTCAGGACGAAGTCGTAGTTGGCTGAGGAGTTCATAGCGTAGAAAACGTTGGCATTGTCTGGAATCTTCAACTCTGTGGAAAACAAGGAGGAAATCAGCACAGGGTACTTCAGCATTATCTATAAAGACAGTGGCTATGTAAAGAAATTATTTGCACAAAAACACTAATTTACCCAATTTTCACTAATCCCTAATGTATACTGCAATATTCTCTGTACTTTGGAGCATTTCTCCATTATTTATTAGCTACATTAGCCCTGCAGCTCCACTGCTAAACTAAAGAAACAAACTTTAGTCACCAAACATGTCTTCGCTGATCAACTACATTCAGGGTAAGGGAGAAACTGCTGAACTATTTATCTAATGTTACAGATCATCTAAATGGGACCACCAAGAGTTAGTTATTACATAAATATCTATGTTTTTAATAATGTAATTGTCTAAATGACCCTTGGCTAAACCCTAACCACTGGCAACTGTAGGCCACTGGCAACTGTTGCTCTTTACCCTTTCATAAAAGGTTATACAGCATCATTTTACACATAAAAGGATATTAATGTACAAGTTCTATAGATTTGAGGAAATGAAATATCAAACGTTTTAATAGAGCACTGGTAGTAAAGTGCATCAAATCACAGGAAAATGTTTATGAATGGGTTAAAATTGAAATAATCATACATTTCCCTACACTCTTAAAACCATGAACACTCAAAGAGCCCTTTGTATGATTAAAGCGTTCTTTGCATCATGAAAGGGTTCTTAAGAATGTGCTGTAGATGGTTCTATACAGAACCTTTTTGAAAAGGATTCTATATAGCACCAAAAAGGGTTCTTCTATTGTTATGATGTCAACCATAATCAATATATATATAGAACCAAAAATGACCTGTATAGGACCATCTACAGCACATTCTCCATCAGTCTGAAGAACCTTGTCATGATGCAAAGAACCTTGTAATCATGCAAAGGGTTCTTTGAGTGTTCATGGTTCTATATAGAACCATTTTCTTTACTCAAGAACCCTTGAAGAACCATTTAAGTGTGTACTCTGCAGGACAAGGTCAATACTCCTCTTTCATTTCCATTTCATCTTCATGGATCACTGCATGATCTGACTTTTCGGATGTAGTTGTGTAGTTTTTAGGGTCTGTCTTTATTCTTTTGGCACTATTAGGCTGCTGAGAGATCAAATTGTGGATATGTTGCTCCAAACATACTCAGAAACGAAATTGTCTGTTTTGCCATTGAAAACTTGAAAGCGTATCAGTCATAGCAACAGTAACCTAGGGGAGTGGGGCTTAGTGAAGGGTTTGTTGCATATAAGTAATAATGTACTGTAAATCAAAGACTTCTCAATCAATCAGTGCAACTAACAGAAGAGAATATAAAGATATATTCACACAAATACTCTGCTCATTATTCCTTATGTACATATGTCCCATGAGGCTGTGTGTATTTTCCGAAAGAGAACAGGGAGTGTGTAAGCGCTCACCTTTCTCCTCACTGATTTTCTGCACGAGCTCGTAGTCCTCTGGCCTCTCTCGGTCCAGGTTGTGTTTCACCATGGCCTTCCTGATCACCGCAGGAGTTTTATCCTGACTCGTGACCTGAAACACACACACACACACGCACACACACACACACACACACACACATTTTATGATTAGAAAAGAAATCAATTATACATATAAGTGGCAAAGTAATGGTCCTTCGCTCATAGTCTTTGCAACAGACTAAAAGTTCTTCAAGCTACAGTTTGAAATTGGTGCTTGTAGCCTGTAGGCTAGACTGTACATTTAACACCCTACCGGTTTAATGTAAATTAATTTAAGTTGTAATGTAAACACATTATTACACAAATCACAAAATACTGTTTTTTTTCTCCCACCCCTAGAGTTCAGTACTTCAGGAGCTTTTTTACCTGATATTTATGTATATATCTCTCAATAACTCACCAGGATGCTCTTGTACATGTTTCCATTGTCCACGTCCAGGCTGACCCTGATGATGCAGCAGTCGTCCACCTGCTGGTTGTAGAGCGGCAGAGAGAGGGAGGAGTAGCTGGACACGCCGGACACCGAGCGCTTGTGTGAACGAGACAGAGTGACCGGCGTGGAGGAGACTGAGGAGGACGAGGCACTGCTGGAGCCGGAGCCGGAGCCGAGGGCAGAGGCGTCGAGAGAGGAGAGAGAGGTGGACTCCCAGAACTGCAAAGAGACAGAGAAAGATAGAGAGAGAGTGAAGGGAGCAGAGATAGAGGGAGAGAAAAATAGAACAAAGAGTGAAAATTGGAGAGAGAGACAGAAATGTGTTAAAATGTGTTTAAAAAAAAGAAAGAAACAGAGTGAGGCCGAGTTAAACACACAGAAACAGTGGCAGAGAGAAGTTATGAAAAGAATAAATGAGAGGGAAAGAGAGGAAGAAAGAGAAATATGTTAGGTTTTTGCAATGGAAGACAAAATTAAACAGAAACAGTGGCAGAGAAAAGAGAAAGAAAGAAACAAAGAGTGAAAAGTTGAGGAAGTATGAAAGAGAAACATGTTTAACCCTTAGTAGTTGCAGTTATGGCTGGCAAAAATGAAAATATGATGTAATTTTATAGTAATAATTTATTACTCACAGCTCACAGAAACAGGCGGAGAAAATATAAATCTCAAATTTTTTTATATTTTGATGAAAATGTGTAGCTGTGCACTATAATTTCTGTAAAGCTTGCCAACATAGCAACAGTAACTATGTAACTACATAAGAACACACTTGCTGGTGGAACATCGATGGGCCAATTCATTATATAATTAACTAAGCAATTACATAATTACATTTACATAATTATGCAATGTGACTTTAACACACAGCCAAACGTCAATAAGAACTCTAGACTTCTAAGGGTTAATGTGTTTTTTGTGTACAGCTTGAAGATGAGACTTTTTCACCATGGAAAGTTGATCTGAGGACACATCTACAGGACCTCATGGAGAGCTGGACTGTTAACTTACAGATGCAGAACCAGTACATTTTATTAACACTGTCCCAGAACAACTTTCCCTCCACACAACACCGCAGCTCACCAGCAGTGAGCAAACACACGAGATCAGGAGGATGAAAGGCAGATTTGAAATGAAGGTTAAATTGCATGGATAGAAAAGTAGCTGTATGAAGAAAAAATCACACCACTGTCTAGAGATGTTAGAGGTTAAAGTTAGTGCTGAATAAACATTCATGCACACTACAGGCCAAACATTTGGAAGCAGCATTAACTTTGGTACATTTAATATTTTTACAGATAAACCAGAATGGCTTGTTTTGCTATTTCCAGTATGTGCAGTAATTGACTGTTACTGAGTTGAGCTCCTGCTGATTCTCCTACAGAGTGTTACTGCAGCTCTAATCAGATCCACCTGATTCCACCCATTCAGAAGATCAACTCAATCAGGCGTGTTACATTAGGAGGCTGGAATAAATGTAAACACTGCATAATATAAGAGACACTACAAAAAATGATACAGTGTCAAGTAAAAATTATCTTAAATATAGTTAATAAATCTAATATTTCTCCTGCTGAGACTGTTGTAAGTTTAATTTAAGATTATTTACTTTATTTCTAGATATTGTTTACTGTTTTAAGTATTAATATTATTTAGTAAAATTATCTCACTATACTGGCAGATAATTTTGCTCGTTTTAAAAAATGTGCTTAAAACCAGCAAAATTATCTGCCAGTGTCTTACTGATATAATTTTACTGAATAAATTTATTTAAAAGAAGTGAAAAGTGTCTAGAAATAAGCTAGATAATCTTATTGTAAGTGCACAACCATCACAAAATGGGAAATATTAGAAATATTGACTAGATTTAGGATCATTTCATTTGATAAGATGCCATTTTTTGCAGTGCAGAGTAAAAGTACAGCACTGTAAACCAATCAACTGTAATGAACTGTAATAAAATACAGCACTGTAAAATAGGTATCAGTAAACTGTTGTGTTGTTCTGGTTGTTGAGTTAACTGTGAAATATTTTTTTAAAAATCTGTTTGCTTCTGTACATTTGGTCTGTAGTGTATACACACAACACACACACACACACACACACACACACACACACACTGAATGGCAGTGATGAGATGAGCTGTCAGACGGAGAGAGAAAAACACACACAGGAGACTTCTGAGATGAGCAACTGCTGAAACAGAGCGAGTGAGAGAGGGACGGAGTGATAAGCGGAGGAGTGGATGAATGGAGGGATGGGACCCTGAAGGGCTGGATGAATAGAGGGATGGATTGAGGTGTTGAGGGGTGGATGAATAGAGGATGGAGGTATTACTGGAGGGACAGATGGAGGGATGGATGAATGGATGGATGAAGTGGAAGTGGAGGCCTGGATGGATGTAGAGATGAATAAATGGATAGATGGAGTGGGAGTGGATGGCTAGATGGATGTAAGGATGGGTGAATGGAGTGACAGATGGAGTGATGGAAAGATCAAGTGACTGAGGGATAGATTGATGGATAGAGGGATGGATGACATGATGGAAAGGGGTGGATGTACATAGGGACAGATAAAATAATGGAAGAAGTGATGAAGGGATGGAGTGATGAATGGGGAATAGAAGAAAGGTATGGAAGGACCGATGGAATGATGTAGTTATGAAGGGAGTGACGGAGGGATGTAGTAACGGAGGGATGGATGGAGTGGAGGGGCAGATGTATGTAGGGATGGACGGATAATGGAGAAAGTGATGAAGGGATGGAGTGATGGATGGGGGATGGAAGGATTGAAGTAAAGCATGGAAAGACTGATGGACTGATGGAAGAAATGAGTAATGGAGGGATGGATAAACAAAGTGATGGATGGAGTGATGGAATGATGGGATGGATGAGTGATGAAAAGAGTGATGGAAGGATGAATGGAGGGATGGAGTGAGGGAGGGGTAGAGGAGGAGAGTACCGTTGGTGTGAGATCTCCCATTGGCCCACACTTCCCTAAGGTAGAATTGGAATGTTTTACGCAGGGCGTGGACGTCTACAAGGAGGAAGCAGAGCTACTGTCACCATGGAAACACACAAGAGGCTGGAGCTCATATACATGCTCCGCCCACAAAGGCGTTCTTTAGTGGTACCTGTGGCGATTTTGTGGACAGGCTTTACAGAACGGTGGAAAAATCCCATTCAGCCTAATGAGAAGCACAATACCTACATTCAGAGTGCTTAGGACCCAGATTAAGCCTAAACCAAGACTAAAAAGAATTTCCAATGGTAGTTCTGCACTGACACGGACATTAGGACCATAATCAGACTTAATCCTTAATCCAGGAAACGGACACCTAAAGTTTAATCAATTTAGAGTGC